ATGTAAACAGCTAGCTATACACTGATTATATTTGCACTGTGACAGGAACATCTCATTTATTGAAGTCATGAATTTACAGCTGCTCAGTTTTACAAACTAATCTGGTGTGGTGTTAATGCCAAGACCTGGTAGGAAGCCTACAACTCTGCTTGGCTAAAAACACTAAAGATATATGCATGCAAGATCAACACCCCAACACTGGGAGCTAAGAATCCACAAGTAGAGGCCTATACTCCTACATAATATAGGAAACATTGGCTTTAAATCAAACTTTAGAGACAGACAAAGAAACAGAATGAACAGGGAGAAACAGTTAACCTTGGATAGGTTGAAAGCAACTTACAGTTCTCTCCACTGAACAAACTACATATCAAATCATATTAAAATAAATCTGCAGACTATGGTCCCCTAATTGTGAAAATCCGTTGGAGAAAACCACGTGCTTTGTGACTAAATCCCAGTTTTAGCTATTTCCATTGAAATGATCTAAGACGGGATGGGAACGATCTGTGCCCAAAGGCGTACTGAACCACTGCATTAATTTGACTTTATTGAATTTACAGTCATTTCCTTGCCCACAATGTAGCACTATGCACTAGGAGGAACAGTCCACAGCAATCATGATTTAATCTAACCACAAGAGAATTTTTTTTTTCTAACAATCAGATTAGCTATTCTGGGGAGAAGGAAAGGCATCTGTGGGAACAAGGGGTAGGCATACAAAACAGGAAAGACACTTAATATATTAGGTAAGCTCTTTAAAAAGCCAAAGAAAAACAACACAGCTAAAAACGATGTTTATTTTTGTAAATCAGATTTTAACTAGCTTTTAAACATTTGCAAATGACTGTCTTATTATCATTCAGTTAGACGGAAGAAAAAGAAAATGAGGTGGTTTTTTGTTTTTTTTGCATGTACACAAATTAAATGCAAGTTTGTATTGATCAGTATCCGCACAGGGATAATTTAAACTTTCACTCTCAGTTTCTGTGTCTCATCCAGCATTGAGTATTGATTACACATCCTTGACTATGGATGGTTTATAGTCAATTTGTAAATGGCAGGTATTCCATACACACACAAACACACACACTCTCTTTTTTTTTTTTTTTTTTTGCCCTATGGTATTGCCTCTGGCCAAACATGTTTTGCAGGGTTTTATAACATAATCAAATGAAGCAATACTCAAATGTGAGCAAAAATTTTGGATACTATATTTTTGTGAACTCTTTTTGTGCATACAAAACAGATTCTCTACTGATTCCACTGACTCTCTAGTTACTTGGACCCAAATGTTAGGACTTGCAATACTTTACATCTTACCCAGGGCACAGGTACTGCCAGGGAAGCAATGTTCTTCACACAAACCAAGGTACGGGGAAACTACCAGTTTCACAAGTTCTTCTAGTTGCATAAAGGCCTTAGAGGGACCTGTAGGTTCATGGACTCCCTGAAACACAAACAAAATATACCTATTGTCAAATACCTGGGGTATGCAAATCAACACATTTCATTGGTCCATCTTTATTTTTCTAATTGACCAAAGAAAAGAAACTTAATTATGTATTAAATTATGATGTAGGAGTTGTAAGTTATATCATCTTCTACAACAGGGCTTTTCAATCTTTTCACCCATTGTACCACTTTTAGGATATGGCAATATCCGAGTACCACCAGTCGCCTAGCAAGGTGTCAAAAACTTGATGACCAAAAAAAAAAAAAAAGAAAAAAGTGATAAAGTACAGGTAGTCCTCGACTTATAACAGTTCGCTTAGTGACTGTTCGAAGTTACAATGGCACTGAAAAAAGTGCTCCCCAAGCCACAGCCGAGCAAGACACCTGCCTTGCCGGCCTCACTCTTCCTCCTGTCCGAGGTTTTCATTGTTGTGAGCATTTCTGTTGAGGATTGGCAGCGGGGGTGGGGTGGGGATGTTTGGTTTTTATTCCCCCCGTCTGCTGGGTGGTTGCAGCAGGTTTTGGTCACTTCACATGACCCTGGGACACTGTGACCGTCATAAATATGAATCAGTTGCCAAGCATCTGAATGTAAATCACAAGACCCTGGAGATGCTGCAAAATTCCAGCTAATCAACGCTTCTTCTGGGCTCAGCAGAAGCACCAGGATCAGTGCCGAGCTCCAGCTGGAGCCTGGCGCTGATCCTGGCGCTTCCGCTGAGCCCTGACAGTCCCGAAGAAGCACCGATCAGCTGGAAAGCGGCACTGATCCTGGCGCTTCCGCTGAGTCCTGACAGCCTGGAGCTGCAGCCATCTCTCACTCAGGCTTGTGCAGTGCTGCCACCAGTTCAGTTTTTTCCCTTCCCCCTACCACTTTTCTAGGATGGTTGCGTACCACCTGCCAGGTGCCAATGTACCACAGGTGGTACCCGTACCACTGGTTGAAAAGCCCTGTTCTATAGCAGTATTTCTCAATATCAACCAGTATGCTGGCTGGGGAATTCTGGGAGCTGAAATCTACATATCTTCAAGTGAGAACATTGAAGATTGAGAAACGCTGTTCTATGGCACCCTACTGAATGCTCTTAGCAGTTAGTCAAGCAGGCCATTCCAGTAAGTCAAAGAATATAAGCAAATTAACCGTCTCCTCAGGACTTGGGACCCAATTGGGAAGTGATGGATATTTTAATTCTCTGGATCCAAACTATCCCAGCAACTCAGGGCAGCATTCCTGATGTTTCCCCTTTTTCTTTCTCCCAATGTCAGAGTTGTCATTGGGAGAAAATGAGCAGAAGGCAAAAATTCATGGTCAGAGCTCAGACACGGTAATTTAAAACAAACAAACAAAACTATTATCCTTGAAACAGTCATTAAAACCACTATATTGCAACATTAAACTTAATTTCATTATTCAGATTTTAGATAGCTCAAACTTTATCAATGAAAGACTGATGTCAGAAATCCAGCCCTCTTAATTGAAAATACCATGCCCAACACACATAATTAAGGTTGCATTGTGTTGACTTTCTCCATCAGAGCCTGCTTACAACATGAGAATAGACATTTGTGCAGGCAGGCATATCATCAATGCAGTGGTGGGATTCAAATATGTGAACAACCAGTTCTCTGTGTGGATGCCGCTTCCGGAAATCCATTCTGGGCCTGGGCAACAAAAAATTAGCTACCGGTTCTGCTGAAGTGGTACAAACCGGCTGAATCCCACCATTGCATCAATGCCTTCCTGTGAAACAGAACCCCAGTGATAAAGGAAACCAATATTTGTGGGTCCAGGCCAAAGGCAATTCTCTGCTTCATAAACTGTTTGGAAAGCAGTAATTTCATCCTTACAGTATGTTTTCTCCACTAATTGTCTAATGTTCATTAACAGTAGTGTGCAATACATTTGGATGCCAGTACAGTACATTTCAAGGATGCTAATGTTAAAACAGGCTGTTCCAACATCACTACGCTTCTAGTGAGAGGTTGGAACAGGATGTTTTGAGGCAAAATATTTCAGCCTTGAAATGTTTGCCCATCTCCTTCAAACATCACAAATGAGAGGTGGAAATAGACCATTCCCCCACCTGTAAAATCAGCAGCATCTGAATAATGGAGGGTGGAAGGTTACTTTGAACCAAAGGAAGAATCTCATCCAACTTTACTCTTAATAAGACGAAATCTCGGAAGCCAAGCAAGGAAATCTGACGAATGGTCAATTCTTGACCCTACACAGATACAGAAAAAAAAATGGCAGCCATTGACATTGGAATATGGTCCAACGCTATTTGCAGACTGAACCCTATGTTTTAGGACAGGTAATGCCACACAATATCATAAAAGAATTGGAGAACAAGATGGAAACGAACATAAACTGACAGAGAAATTATTGTAAATTAAAAGAAATATAATCTGTGGATAGAAAGGCAGTTGTATAAACTGTTGTTAAGAATGGGGAAGTGGGATCACTTTGTAGTTAGATGGGAAAAGCATATTAAAAGCAGCACCCTTGCCAAGGGATTCCCCAAAAACTTCACTATGCATCTTGGACTTCTTAAAGCATGAGGCTCAATTTATTAACTTGTCTTTGCTGGTCCAATTTCAGATATTTAATAACACTGGAAGAGATAAAAATAAAGACTATTCTTTTTGTTATCTGCTACCATCTTAAAAAAGCTAATGCCAAGCCTATGAAGCTACCATATCCTTCAACCTTTGCTTCAGCACTGAGTTTACAACTTCTGTTTTAATAGCTAAAATCAACCCTGCTGCATATTCTCCATGGGAATTGTTTAGATATTCCCAACTAATGAACCAGAACTCTAGCTGGAGGGAATAAATGTATGTTAATCATCAATTCATAATAGGGTTAATGATACAACTAACAAGTTCATCAAAATGCAAAGCAAGAACACAAGCCAAAGGCTCTGAAGTCAGAGACTTCCTGTTTTTAAAAAGGGCTGCTCTTCTTAAGATTCAAAGGGTGTGGTTATGGGCAAATAAATGGAGTAGGACTTGCAAAAAGAAGGGAATGAAATTTCTACAGAAACAGATATGTGAGCTTCTCAGCTTGACCTAATCTTTGCTGCATTACAACCAACCTACTGTGCAAATTTTAAAAAATAACCAAGAAGGAACATCTCAGCAAATAAGTATCCACAATCCAGCAACATTAAAAATACAGATATGTGTTCATCTGCAGAGGAACATTGGCAAGGTGGGAGGCTATGGACGGTTAGAACTATCCATACCTATCAATTTATGGCAAGATGATAACAAATTTTGTTTGCCTGGCTCTTCACTTTTAATTATATTAAACCTTTACTGATATATTTATTTTGGGGAAAATGTTCTGTTACAATTAATTGGCTTTTCTTTCGCTTTTGTCCCAAGTAATTTATATAGAATTGTTCATTTAACCTATACACACTGGTTCATTTTTATAATTTAATCATTGAATTTCATATCATTGTAACATTCGTTGCTATACCCAAGCTACAAGAGAATTTTAGAGCAGCAAATTTCTTTTGTGCTATTTATGCTATTGTTTGTTTATGAAGGAAAAGTGTGAAAGAGAGCACAGTGCATGAAAACATCTCTTATAATATGAAGCTTTCATCCATTTATCTGTACTTTAAGGAACATCTTTCCATTTGTACATAATATTTTGGTTAGACAATCAGCTAAGCTACATCAAATGGAGTCACAGTTGGTTGCAAAGCCAGAAAGACCTCAATTATTTCTCTGTCAAACTGGAGGAAGGTTTCAAGTGGGATGCATCTGAGCTCTGTCTTAGAAAGCAGTACGCTTCACTGTGCTTATTTTTATTTATTTAAAACGGAAGGCGCTTGTCTGAACAGTCGTGCAGATAAAAAAGAATCTAGGACAGCATTTCAATCAGCAAAGCAACAGCAATATTATGAGATGGGAAAAAAAGAATGTAACTTCATATCACATCCATCAAGATATAACAACTCTGAGTGAATCATTTCTTATAAACATAGTAAAATATATTGTGTTAACAGATGGTAAAATTGAAGGTAATTCAAAGAAAAACAGTGTTATAATCCATTTAATATGTGGTAGAGCTGAACAGCACTTCAAATCATAAAGATGCTTATGAAATGGACCTGGTGGCCCTCCTTAATTCAAACATCTTGCCCTGGGACAGATGTTAAAGAAGATGCAGCATTGGACTTTATGATTTAATCTGCCTACAAATGTGACAGATAGAAAAACTGATTTGATTTAAGGTCCCAATCTTCCTGGGCCTGTAGATGTATTTGGAATGTTCAGACCATCTACCAGAAGCTAAATTGATTTTCACCTCATTTGTCCTAAAAACCTCTTCTGATTTTCTAATATGTTCTCTGCCACTTATATTTGGAGAGTATGCTTTAACACTGCAGCTTCCCGTTTAAAAAATAAAAATGTAAAGCAAAAGGTAAAATCAGATGGGGCAGGGACCCTGGTAGGTCAAAAAGGAATTGCAATATACTCTGTCACCCATGGTCATATTTTTGGGAGCCTAGGAGTTAAAAGATTTTTCAAATGTGCACACAGTTCACCTTCCCGTAAAGCCACACATACCTTTTATCATCTGCTGCAAGTATAAAAAGGAGGAATAGGGGAAGGGAATAACAGGAAAAAGAAAAAGAGAGAGAGCATGGGAAATCAAGATTCTTATAGCAAGAAGCAAATATTTACATTCTCCCTAGTAATGTGGAAAACACCACTTTGAAACAAGGCTTGCATAAGGTAGTGATGTTTACCTGTTGATATTTTTGGTCTAGAGGGGGGAAAAAATAGCACCAGTTAGTGTTGGATTGTTAAAGGGAGCTCTGGAAAAGCATAGAGATAGATTTCCTAAGAATTTCATTCTACAAGAAATCTGTTCCATCAGTAACTTCTCTTGTCTACATAACATTATTTTCTTGGTCTTCTAATTAATTCCCTGTTACTGAGCTCGTTCAGTTCCTTGGGAAGAAAAATATTACCTTTTTTATCTCAGAGTGCCAGTATAATTACTGAGATAAAGAACACAGAGAAGTTATTAGTATTCCACTTGTTTCAAACGCAAAAGTGGTTTGTGTAAAAGGTGGTGCAACAGTGAGGATTGTTAACTATGGCACACAAATACTTGGGCTTATGGGACGGTGGGTTGAGCCAATTTAGTCAGAGGCCAATATAAACACATTTTATGATTTCTCTGCTTCTAGGGGAACAGACAGTTCTAGAATCAGAAAATGGGAGGGGGGGTTTTAGCTTGTAATATGCTGCCTCTATATCTACCTCAAAGAACCTTATCAAAGTATATGGCTGCCTCTTTACAAATCATCATTTGAAATTCAAGAGTCAACCAGGGAAATTAGATTTCTTTCCCGTTCTTCTACTCAAGTACAATGGTAAGGAAAAAAGGCTATAATGAAGATGATCAAAGAATTCAGAGAAAAGCTGGTGAAGAAAGTACAAAATCTTGTCCTTGAGGAAGCCAGGCCAGCTTGGTTGGGAATTTTGTTATTCTAATATACCTGGAAGGGGCCAGATTGAAGACGTTTATCATTAGTGTATTGTCCAATTACAATGTCTTCTGGGTGGTTAAAAATAAAATGCATCATTAACAATAGATATTGAGCTGTAAATTAACAATTACACAAGACATTGATCCAGAATAACCTATCCTTTAACATAGTGTAAATTTATAATTATTGGGTAACAGGGTTTAAATTAGTCAAGAGTTCTATAACCATATCAACAGCAGGACAAACAAGTTTAACAGCAGTTCTGGTGAAACATATGATTCTTAAAGTTTAAAATTGTTTTCCTTTACTGATTAAGTTTCATGTCTCCCTTCAATTACAGAGTAAGTTTGAAATGTTTTCTCTGCCCCGTTGAGCTTAAATTTGACTAGATTTACCTGAACAGGGTAAAATATAGCCTGTAGTGTGGGAAGAGTTTCTGTGAAGAAGTGATCCCAAGTTTCAGATAATACGTAGATACGATCTTCTCCTAAAACAAATACAATGAACGTTAGGGAACTTTCAAGAAATATGTTATTAGGTACACAACTCTCATTTCCAAGTACAAATTAAGTCCATACATTGCTTGGCTTTGTGAGATTACTGGAGGTGGCTAGGTCTCTTCTAGCTAAGGAGCAGAGGCCCAGATAAGTGGTAACACCTAGCCATGCTTGGGTGATCTTGAAAAGCTAACTAGGATTGGACCTGGTTGATACCTGGATGGGAGACCTCCAGGAATACTAGTTTGTGGATTAGGCTGAGAAATAGGAAAAACAAAACCAGGAAGTAAGCAAGGACAAACCACTTCTATCTGGTGGCCAAGAAAACCACATGGATGTGCTCACATAGTCACTAGAAGCTCAACTCAGGAAGTCTCCTCCTTTATCCAAATACTGGCTAATTTTGCACAAAGGGAGACTCAGCTGCAATTGGAATGACGACTGCAATGTTTTCTATGGAGCTGCCTTTAAGGACTTCCCGGATGCTGCAACTGGTGCAGAACTTAGCTGCCACGTATGGTGAGTAAAAACCACCAGAGCCACCCAACACTTGTTTTGCAGGTCTTTCACTAGTTTCCGATAGATTTCTGAGTACAATTCAGAATGCTGGGTTTAACCTATAAAGCTCTTTATGACATAGAGTCTGGATGACTGCAGAACTAGCTAAGGTAGAACTAACCCATCTGATCTGTTTGCTCCAAATGGGTAAAAGCAAGGCTTTTTTTATCATAGAACACCCAGAATGGAGTTCCGGCACCTTTTTGGGATGGAACCTTGTAGGGTAGGCAAGGCGGGTTTGTATGACATGTGTGAGTTCTGGCACCTTTTTTTTAGAAAAAAAGCACTGGGTAAAAGTACCTCTTCCCCAGGTAAGATCAGAAGAGCAAGAAGAAGGGCATTATAGTTTTGGGAACATGTCCTATATTATAGAAGAAGTTACCTGTGGCAAACTGAACGGGACCATCCCTGACAGTTTTCCAGAGGACTTTAATGGCTAAGCACTTCCACACAACATTTAATTATTTAGAAATGTTGCAAATTGTTTATTTCCAGGTATCTTTTGGGGTAGGGTAGGTTTTATGGGATTATCTTTCTAGGATTTTTATGCACTTTGTACCTTGACAAAATTTGCATGAAACTGATAGTATAAAAATTCTGCACATGCATAAATTATAACACATGGCAGTTATGCCAACTTTCTATTTGTCTTCCTTCCAAAATAAAATAATGTATTGACTTTTTTTTTAAAGATAATCAGTATACCATATTGCCTCAGGCTAAGGTCATATGAAAGCTATAAAAATGATTTATTTAAAAAGGAAAAAATATGCTTAATAAAAAGCCCCTTGTTTAGAGTTCATTAACCTTTAACTAAAAATGTGGGCATTCTCCCAGGGAGAGAGAGAAAGAGGCAAAAATAACAGTAATAATTTAGCAGGCTTCAAATTTCAGAGCATTTTTTTAATTGTTCATTTCAAAGAAAGAGAATCTATAAGGTGTCCTCGCTCCACAAAAAATTCAGTACTAGGAATTTTAATATTCTATCTCCAGTTGTACAAATATATCAATTAATGAGGAATATACTTATATGAAGGGTATAAAGTCACTGGAAACCAGAAGTCCCATTTTATAAGAGGAGTTGGTAAGACTGGAAATACTTTGTCCAATGAGCCTATATTTCATATAATCCTATTACAATAAGATCATCTGCAAGCTAAACATGGAGGGGAATTTATGAACACAAAACCTATTCCCACCTACATCCTGAACTTGAGAGCAAGTTTTCAAGGGACCTTCTACTTGCTGTTTCTTGAACACAACCATTAATCTCAAATTGGTTAGGAATCCTATGTTATCATGGTTCTCCACATACAGTGGCTTTTATTTATGATTGAATATGAATAGAATCTTTATTCAATTTCCAATGCAGAAAGATCAAGGCTAGAGATGCTGGCTGTACAGTAATACTAACATGAGCTGCTGAATATATGATCAGATTTCAACAAAACAGTAGTTTAATACTACATTAAGAATGCAGATTGGAAAAATCAGTCAAATAGAATGCATCCCTTACATTTTTACTAATATAATTCTACATAATAGCATCAAAAACACTGTACTAGATCTATCCATAAGGCTGCTCTTTCTCAAAACCTTTTCTTGACCAGGTAAGAAAATACCCACTAGTGAGTATGCATTAATACATTAAACAGGATTTCCTCTAGCCTTTTTCAGCAACTCTTAACTGAAGTGAGGAGAAAATTTGTGGTGAGCATTTGTGCATGCAATTATGGAACACTATAATTCCACCCAGATAAATGCAGTTAGTTTCTCTTTAAACCTTGTTACCATCTTATCCCCATACATACTGTATGGTTAAGAATACTTCTCTGTCTGCTCACTCTACCTCCCAGAGCTAGTTATAAAGTAAAACATCCATTCAAAATTCTTTGGAGACTGGTCAGATCCTCTTCCAATGAAGTCAGATCCTAGCATGTTAATTGTGTCTTTATATTCATTTCTGAAATCATAATACAGTACTACTTGGATCACAACAGTTCATTCAACTCTTTAAAGTTATAACCTGTCTTCAGAATTCTGGTTGTTGCAGTGAGCTGTGATAAAAGAACTGCAATTTCCAACATTCCCTGATAGCTTTCTACAAGCAAAGTCAATGGGGAAACCAGCAGGAAATCAGAAATAGCTCCTGCTGCTTTTTTGCTCACTCACACTCTACACCACCTTGCCAACAGCACTTCCACCACAGCACACACCTACAGTCCATAGGGCCTGCCCATGGCACCCACCCACACTCCAGAGCACCTCTCTAAGGTATTACCCACGTCCCTACAGCATCTGCACACCTGCCTATTCTCCAGTGTGATTGCTCACAGCACCCCACCACCTACCTGCAGCTCTCATCTGCCAGCCTGGGACTCTTGAATCTTCCCATTAAAGACCCATGTGGTCCTACAGTTAAATAGCAACTGGGACTGAGGAATTGCCATTGCTACATGGTTCATTTGTGTGATATCATGCTTTACAACTGCATCACTTACAATGGACATTTCAGTTCCAATTGTCATTGTAACCCAAGGACTACCTGTAACATACATTGCAGGGTGAAGTGGATTTTAGCAGGATTTGCAGTTGAATTGTGGTAAAACAAGACAAAACTATTTTTAAGCATGATGCACCATCACTACAGATTATAGAGGAAACCAGATTTATAGAATGTTTATAAAAAGTCCAGGGTACGGTTACTTTGGTTGGTAGTGTAAAAAAAAGTCATAAATACCTTGACTTCTTAGTGAACTAAAAGAGGGTTTAATTTAAAGTTGTCGGTGTTTACCGTGGTTGACTTAAAAGGTGTAGCAACTCACTAAGTCTTTGAATGGTAACTTCTTAAGCCAAACTCAGCTTTTATTTCCATTTTAGAAGCACAAATTTCTGGCTGCTGTATTGACATGGCCTAAGACCCAGATGAGCACACACTCCAAATAATTGTGAGCTCACATTGCAACACTATAGGCAGATGTTATTCATTGCTATTAGATTTGTTTCCAAATAAGGACTCACGGAATTATAGTTTTAGCAGCCTATGTCCCACTGAATTGTAATACATTTTTTATTTAAAAAAAATTAAACTAAGATTGTAAAAATCTCTCTCAAAGGAAACCTAATTTTCTGACTTTAATTAGAAATTATTTTGAGAGTTCCAATTTAACAATATCGTTGACAGGTTCTAGAGCTGTCACATCACATTTGCTTTTTAATGTCTAGCTAAGAGTGTCTCTGGTCTTTAAAAAAAGTTCTAAAAATATTGCATGCAATTTTTACAACATCTGCAAAACTCTATTTTATTTTATTTTATTTTGAATCCAGAAAAACAGTAAACCAGAAAGCTTATACTGTTTGAAGAAACAGGTGCAACAATTGAAGTTTATCTGGTCAGAAGTCTGAATTGTTTTGTGGTTAAGGAACTAGGATAGATTTATTTCTCCATAGGTTCCCGCTTCCTTTTGATCTATTAGAGACCAACATAACTTCCTGGCAGACTGGCAACTGAAAACTGTTATGGCCTAGATCAGAGGTCCCCAACCTTTTGAGCACCAGGGACCAGTTCCGTGGAGAGAAGGTTTTTTGTGAACTGGAGGGGGCATGGTTCCATGTACTGCCTGCATCCCATGGATAGGGATTTGCTTGTTTGCACGGACCAGTTTCTGGCATGCCGTGGCCTGGTGCTGGTCCACGGACCGGGGGTTGGGGACCCCTGGCCTAGGTAACATTCTCCCATGTACTGTATGTCAATCTAAGATAAGGCTACATTTCATGAAAACCAGGACCCTGCCCCAATCTTTTTGGAATTAACTTTCAAATGAATAACAGAGTTGGAAGGGACTTTGGAGGTCTTCTATTCCAGGGGTCCCCAACCTCTGGGCCACGGCCAACTATTGGGCAGTGACCTATTTGTAAGCGGGCATGTGAGTGGCAGGCCAGCTCATCTTGCACAAACATAGCTCAACACGTGCAAGTCAAGCTGTGTGCGCATGTGTGTGCATGCTGGCCCACTCTTTCTGCATGTTGAGCTGCGCCCGTGCCAGCCCACCATTCATGCAGCCTGCTCTCTTCTCTCCCCCCCTCCAGGCTGCCAAGCCACTAAGGTTGGGGACCACTGTTCTAGTCCAACATGCTGCAATAGTTTCCAAACTTTTCACTATAATCAAAAAGTTGATAGTGACAGACCACCACAACATATCCACAATGTTTCAGTTGTACCCATCAGGACCAATTGGAAAAACCACACAGAACATAATAAAATATTTCTGATGCAGATTGAGAATTATAGGCATAACATAACTGATCCAGTCTATAATGCATAAAGCCATGCTTTCTGCAGGGAAAGCATAAGCCATGCTTTCCCTGCAGAAATATAAACAATGTTTAATAGTCTTTCATAACAATATTGATTTGATAATGAAGTTGACTACAGCCATTTGCTAGACATCTTTCACCATCAATTGGTCATTGATGGTACATGTATACACATAAATGCTGCCATATGATCATTTACATGATGCACATATAACATGGCAAGCTTCTTTTTTTCACAAATGGTATTGATAAATGGGTGTTTAAAGCATGCTTTTCAATTAGAAAGGTATTTTCTTCTCTGTTCCAAATCACTTCTATTCAATGCTATTATTATGACTTCATTGTGGTGCTTATACACATTAGGACTTGGGGGATATTTAGACATGTGATTCTGATATGTTGGTTTTTCCCCGAATTCATCTTAGCAACTTCAGAAGATGATTCACAAAGCTTTCTGGGAATTCAGAGCCCTCCCCAAAGTTGTCAATTTCTATACTTGCCTTCACAAAACTTAACTTTTTCTTCTACGTATAGCAAACCTTTTGCAAGAAGCTGGTTCTGCCAAAAAGAAAAAAAAAGGTTGGATTTTCACAAATTCAAAGATACAAATGATGCTTTCAATTTTTACAAAAGTTATTTCAGATATATTTACCCAATCTACTGAACAAGCAACATATTTTTAAAATCCCTCTTAGTTTTATATCAAGTATGTCAAAATACACATGCCCAATGAAAGTTTTACATGCTCTAGCTGTAATATCTCAATTCCCAATCAGACTCATTTCTTTTCTGCCCAAACCATTTTCAGGTTGGATTTTAACATTATATTTATATTTTACTTTCTGCTCTGGAAAGTCTCAAAGAGCATGCATTTCCAGGTTGCCAAATACATGTGGAAAATACATGCAAACGAAGCTTTCCTGCATATGATCAGTCTCTGTTCTGCTTATGTTCAATCACATGGCATATCTCAGCTGCAAATACCTTGATGGTCCAATGCCGTAAAGACATTCACTGATGGAAGAAAACAACTGAACTAAATTCTTATGGAATTAGTACAGAGACTATTCTGTCTGGATCTGCACTGTACAGAATTTAAAAGGACAACACAATATTATAAATGCTATATCGGTTTTCCAGTGTGTTAAGAATTAGAACACAACTAGGACTTGTAACACACCGCATGAAGGAATGCCCCTATTTGCTATCAGCCATTTTATTTTATTGTTTATATATTATTTTATTTTATTCCATTTTATTGTTCTACCTTTTTCAGGTGATAGCTCCAGTCCAATTGTATATCTACCCACTGAATCTGTCTGTACTTTGGAATCTCCCCTTAAAGTAGGGAATTTCCTAAAAATGTTTTGTACAATTAAAACCTTTGGGGCTGTCCCCAGGCACAACTCCTTCTTGTATCAATTGTGTTATATAAGAACTGACACTTCTGAACGTCAAAAAATAGAAGGAATGAGTCAATGTTGACTCTCTATTTCACATCATCGGTGCATGCCACACTCTGCAAAACTTTACTTTTTTTAAAAAAAGAGGAACAGCTCAGATTTTTTGGGTTTTTTTTTAAAAGGGAAACAAATGAAAAAGCTGTTTAAATAACATTTTTGTTTCCTTTAGATTTAATGCAGCAGTTATAATAATCAGTTTAATGGGATGTATGGCCTTTCATGCAATATCATTTTATTTACAAGATTTCTGATCATTAAACATATTTCAATATTTAGTCATTGTTGAACAATATGCTGAAAATCCACTTTCACAAAGTTGTGCTGAAGGAAAAAGAAGCCGTACTGTCAGTTCCCTGTGAACTTTCACTGAAATTTGTGGATTTTTTTCCAGTTATTTTAATATATGCTTATGGTGAAATCTACCAGCATTTACTGTTCATTTTTCATTAGAAACTAAATAGATCTAAAACCCATTAAAAAGCTTTTGGGACCTCAGAACAACTCTCAGAACATCTTCAATAGTTAACAGAATAACATTGTTATTCTGCAGACTGTGGTTTAAGAATATTCACACAGATCTCCCAAGGAACTGGCAACTGAAGTTTGCTGGCAGGGAGAATGAATGAGAGATGAAGCTAAGAAAACACAGTATTATTATCATCATCATCATCATCATCATCATCATCATCATCAAATTTATTTGCTGCCTATCTCTAGGCCACCCACAACCATAAAAAGGAAGAAATAAAAAGAAAGTTTAAACAAAGGGAAAGTAAAATAGAATAATAAAATAATATATAACACTAATAAAAACAATTAAACAAGCAGGGAAAAAGAAAACAAAGAAAACACATCGATATGACTAGTAAAAAAAGATGGGTGGGTGGGGAGCAGAGAGGGGAAGGGAGGTGGAGTCGGCTGTCAATCTAGCAGCCAGCTCCAGAACTCCCCATTGGATTCCCAGGCCAATTTCCAGAGCCAGATCTCTAGGCTCTTATGGAAAGATAGGAGGTTGGAGGCAGATCTTACCCCGGAGAGCAGGATGTTCCAAAGGACAGGTGCTACGACAAGGAAGGCTCTTCTTCTGAATCCTGACAGTCAGAGTTCTTTGACTGACAGGATCTGCAGTAGGCCCTCACTGCCAGCTTGAATAGGATGGGCTGATCTTAACAGGATTATGGTTCATCAGGTATCTTGGACCTATGCCATTAAAGGCTTTAAAGGTCACATCCAGTAGCTTGAACTGTACTCAAAAGCAGACTGGAAGCCAGTGTAATTTGCCTGTGTACTACAATACTTATAATCATGGAACTGGGGAACTGCTCGGCCCATCAAGTCCAACCCCCTGCTCAGTGCAAAAAAAAACAACCACCAAATTAAACCATCCCTGACAGAGACTTACTCAGCTTCTGCTTACCATTAAATCAGAAATGTTTAATAAGAAAGACATGTCTCTAGGTAATTGATTCTAATTTCAAGTTACTGTTAAGATGTTTTTCCTAACATTCAATGGGAATCTGTCTTCCTGCCCTCTGGGATAATATAAAATAGTAGTATTTTATATAATAATCACCAAGATGCCCTCTGGACTGTCAGAATTCCTAGACAAAGTGATCATAAGAATTCAAGGAATTAAAATCTTACACATCTGGATGCACCGATTTGGGGAAGACTTGAGCCAGGAGGTTATGCATGCAGACAGAATTTTATGTAATAAAGTATACACACAGTTACGAGCAATCCTTCCACTGTGAAAAAGAGGCAGATGAATCATATGAGCAGTTTTAAGTAACTATTCCTCTAACATTTATGGGGAGTGTTTCAAGAGATGGATGTACTCCACTGCCTACAATTTACCTATACTGTATGCACATGGAATAATTCACAACTATCAAGAATAGTTGTGAATTCCTTATCTTATGGAAAATAATTGGCTGACCAGGGAACTTTGTGCAAGCAAGCACACAGAGGAACAATGAACAAAACAGAAAATTTGTCAGCAGTAGTAATATTATGTTCAATTACCCAAGCAACTATTTTCCTACAAACTCAGAACAAGCCAAATGAAAAGGAATGCAGGCAAAAAATATACAAATGGTCTAAATATATAGCAATCATAGAGAAGAAGCTATTCTCATTTTAAGTAATGCATCAATGCCCCTGCAGTGCTTCCTTCCCAAGAAGCTACATTTTGAAAGCCTGGAAAAACTATGCCAACCCAATTAAAATTACTCAATAGAGACTATGTTTAAAATAATCCATGGTTTGTTTTAATATGGTGCATGGAAGTCTGAGGCCTTTTTTAACAGAAGGCCTTTCTCTGTGTTACTTAGAAGTTTAGCAATTACTTCAGATTCAATAAATATATCTTTGGGCAAAAGTAAACAATCATCTTCTCAAATTTCTCAAAATGCTAGAATAAACAATTACTCATGTTATTCTCACAAACCATGCCATGTATTATATTCTCCCTCCTCTCCCCTCTGTAATAACTTATGAACTTGGTTAAAGATATTGGAAAACAAAGTATCTCGAATTAAAAATCCAGACTGAAGAATCATAACACAAAGAAAAGTTCGAGAAGCTACAAGGGAGTATAAGGTCTCATCTACCACAATTTAAACATAAAATAGTAACTTGTTAAAGGTACACATCATGTTAAGTCATAATTTTGTTTGTTTCGACTAAATCTGATTTGTGAACCTAGATTTGTGAACCTATGTTTATGGCTTAGATATGGTATTGTTAACTGACATATTGAATAAACCTTTTCTGCGTCACATGAGAAAAGCACATCTTTCTTCCCCTGTCCTGATCACTTTCTACAGGGGGAAGATCGAGAGCATCCTGTCATACAGCATCACTGCTTCAGACAGGAAGGCGGTGCAGAGAGTGGTGAGAATGGCCGAAAAGATCATTGGCTGTTCCCTCCCTCCCATCTAGGACATAGCACAGAAGGGTTGTTTGAGCAGGGTCCATAAGATTATCTGGGACACTACACATCCTCTTCACGATCTGTTTTCTTTGTTACCTTCTGGGAGGAGGCTTCGTGGTATCCGTAGCAGAACATCCAGATTCACCCATAGTTTCATTCCATACAGCATTAACCTTGTGAACTCTCAAGCCTCCTCCTTTTTTTTTTTTTTTTTTTTTTTTTTTTTTT